CACACTTTAAGCCACAACCTGAACTGACGTACGATTGGTCATGAGTTTGGTCACTCGAGAGAAATTGTCAGTCGACAATTTAACCGAGCATTGAATGCAATCATAGGACTTCACAGAGAATTTTTCAAACTACTAGAGCCTACATTTTAATAATGGGACTTTTTTTTTCATTATTTTAATATAATGCATGTTGGTCATGTTTAGTGCTTTTTGATTTATTATTGTGGTGTCCAACATTATCCTAATTGCTTCTCAATAATAGAATTGTGTTGGATCCATTGATAGCACATGTATTTTGACAACCGTCCAGACTAGTCTCCTAGGCATTTGCTAATTAGCCTTCAATTTCAATTCATTCTTGCCATATAGGAATGTTCTGCAGCTGCTTCTCATGTTTTGCATTCAGCACTCATCTGTGATGATCCTCTTGTAGTTCTCAATGGTATTTCAACTATAATTTTGTAACTATATTTGTTCATATAAACTAATGTACAGACTAACAATTGACTTTAATCTCAATTGAATATTCATTTTGTACGGAAATACTATATGGTAGATGCCAAGTACCCTAATATTCTAAGATTTTTTATCCCTTATAGCATAGAACTCATTATTAGTTGAATGATTGTGGTTGAGGTAAAGAAATACCACGAAACAAGAAGGAGCTATTTAATAAACGACAATCTTGCTCAGAAATATCCTTTAACATGCTTTTGGAGTTTTGATGGCAAGATCCCCTATCTTGAAAGTGGCTACTGCCTACTTAAACAAAACATAAGATAGTTGTTGCCTGTTATATTTCAACAATTTCCTCATGGGTGAAGGTGGTAATATTCCTGCCTATGAAGAGGAAAAATGCATGATCGAAACCAGCCTGAGAGAGTGGAATTTTCAGATTTAGAAATATTTGGGAGGAGTCAAAAGGAGAGAGATGAGTGGTCCAAATTCAAAGATGAACTTGCAATGCAGATGTGGACGGATTGTAGGAATGATCATAATTGAAAGTCATACTTTTCACTTTTGAAATTAAGATGTATTCATGTGAACAGTTAGTAGGATGAAAACTTTGCTTTACATTTTTCTTTTAGACATTATAATAGACATGCGTTGTCATACACTTTTAAATGCGTGCAAATTTCTATTTCAATTATATATAACTTTGCTTCCTAATTGTTTTTTATGTTGATGTATTATTGGATGAATGCATTCCATGTGATAATTTTTTCAATACTTGATGTCATATGATATTTGATTATTTATGTTAGACATGGACAATGAAAGTCCAATGGTTCCGTCGAATAGCGAGATGGGGACGAAATGAAGATAGTTTCTTTAGAGCTACTTGTTGAACAATGTATGCTCATTAAGAAAACCATATCAGCTTTTAAAAATGAGCAATAGAGTGAGGTAGAAAAAAAGTTCAATTCCCAACTCATAATGAATTTGAGAAATAATGTTTTCAAGAATAAACTAAGAACTTGTCAAAGAACTTAGTCATAAGGATCACTTTTTACTTTGCTCCTCTCTTCTCCTCCCTCTCTTTCTCTATTCTCTCCCACTCTTTCTCTCTCCTCATCACCCTCTCACTCTCTCCCCTCTGTCTACTCTCCTCTGCCACCTCCAACGACCCATATCACATAAGTCGTGTGATTAGAAACGTTCACTTTATACACACGTTTTGCCTTGAAAGTTTTCATCATTACTCTCGAAATATATGAAGGGGCATCTTCATCATACACAACCCTCTCAAACGCACCATACCCCACCTCTCTCAGCCCCAACTTTGCCCACTCACAAGGCCTCAACAGTATGCGGTCCCTCTCCTTTTCTCTTTTCTTCTCTGCTTTTTCCCTCTCCTCTTTCGATCTCATATTTTTCTTCTTCTTCTTCTATGTTTTTCTCTCTTCCTTCTCTCTCCTCTGCATTTTCTTTTTTTTTACCAATGTTAAAAAATTTATTGATTAAAACAGAAAGATTACAATGAATTTACATCGTCTGAGACTAAAAACGAAGATAAAGACACCGCCCTTTTGGCTAAAGCTATGAGTTTGCTTCCCTATAAACATGCTGATATAACACCATAAACTCTCTGCATTTTCACTATCTGCTTTTCTTGTCCGACCTTCCCATCTCGCGTTCTTCGTCTTCTTCTTCTCCTCTGTTTCCCTCTCTTCCTCTGTCTTTTCTCTAAAACCGTATGCATTTTTTTTTAATGGGACCCATGCTTTCTCTCTCTTCCTTCATTTTATCTTTCTTTTCATCACTTCGACTGTCCTCATATATGGGCACCTTCCCTTTGGCTCTGTTGCATTCAAAAAGAGGAATTCTTTCTCTTAGGTTTCTTTGGCGGCAAGGGATAGGTACTTTTAAAAGTGAATATCAATCATTTTCTCTCTCTAGAATATAACTAAAAATGGTTTTGCTGATTTGCGGAAAATAGAGGGATTCTTTGGGTTTTGTATAGCTGTGTATGACGTAAATGCCACTAATTCGAAGTCTATTTTCTCAACTTACTCTCCATTGGTGAGCATGGATTTGAGAGTAAAAAATTTATAATTCAAATTTCATCGTTTTGAAGATAATTACGATTGTTAGGTTTTGAAGGGTGATCCTCTTTTTAGAGTTTGCCGCCATATCAAAATCTACCCTATGAAAGGGATATTTAGAGCCATTTAATCCAAAATCTTGAGATTTTAAAATTGTAAAAGCTTGGAGTGAATCGATATAAAAAGTGAAAAAGATCTTTAAATTGTCGTAAATTTGATTTAATTATTTCCACCTTACTTGTTAGTAAGCACACTAATGAAATAGCCGTAATTTTTTGTTTATATACATCATGTGCGTAGCCGAAATTTTTTGTTTATATACACCATGTGCGTCTTACATAGCACCACCACCACCACTATAGATAACAATTTATACCAAAAATCTCAAGATTTGGGAACCGGATATTGAATGAAGCTGGGGATATATCATTTCTTTAGTATCTCTAATTTTGCTCGAAAGAAATTATTCTCTTTTCTGCAATGTCAGGGACCAATATGTTAGGTGCTTTTAGCTTTGGTAATTGGGATCTCTTGGGTAGTCAGGGCCCGACTCTGGATTAGATGAACAACTAATTTCCTATTCACTCTAGAAAACAAGAAGGCCCCCTTTGATCGAACAAAACGTGACCAACAGCATAGATTTTCAGCCACACGTTTAAGAGTGATAGAGGTTCCAGCTTGTAACCTTGCGTACATAGAAGTGTGGTAAAGGGCCGGGTGGCCTTGGCCCGCTCAGTCAATCCAGCCTTAAAAAACGTGGGCCTGAGCCACAAAATGTGGCCTAAGGGCCGGGCCAAGGCCGAGTAACCATTGCCTGAGGGTAGAGCCAATCTTGGGCCAATGCAAGGTTCGGCCCAACCTGGGCCTTTTTTCTACAAGATCTTATTTGTCCCTCCCCATCCTTGATAGGGCTAGGGCCAGGCCTCGGCCAACGCCTTTTTGGGCTGGTCAGGGCCAGGGCCGGGGCTGGGCAAGACCTAGGCTAACCCGGTGGGGACTAAAGCTGGACGAGGGCCAGCCCAAACCCAACCCGATGCAAACCCTATGTACATATGCTTCCAAAACCACCTAGAGCCTGATAATTAAAAAGGATCCTTTATTCCAAAAGGATCAACTACTAATTTTCAACGTAGCAAGCTTTCTATGCTCCCCCTACATAAAACTCATATATTTCTCCATATCCAACCGTCCATTCTGAATAGAGAACTAAAATTGCCCCTATCACAATGTCATATCTCAATACTATTTTATTTTTTATTTGTTTTCTATAAACTATTTTGACACCAAATTTTGGATGTCCAATCCTCTATTCAACTCGCACTAGCAAAAAATATAAAAAATATATTTTCAATGAAATAAAATGATCAGAATACCCCTAAAAAATTCAAAAGGTATTTTGATCATATATTTTATCAAAAAATCATTTTTAATATTTTTTTATAGGTGCACCCCAATGAGAAGATTGACATGTACCAAATTTCATATTCATATAATTTGTATGAGAAAAACAAAAAATAAAATACTTTTGAGTTGTTGGATCCAAGATCAAACGGTGAGTGGCTCTCTAAAAATAAAATATTTGGAGATGTCGGATCTAATATCAAACGACGAGCGACTCTCTTAATCAAAATTAAACGGCTAGATAGTAGGAAAAGCATAGATCTTCTATACTGTAGAGGAAGTATAGAAACTTTTCCCTTTCAACATTGCTTATAAAAAGTACAAATTATTTTTCTCTTGATGCCAAAAGAAATAATAATCCCGAGGAACTACACTCTCCATTAACTCCCTCGGGTGAAACCCCCTCAGGAATCCATTTTAGGCCCCCAAATTTTAAGGATGTAACCTCTTCAATCCATAGATTAGCCTTTAATAAAAAGCATGTCCTAATTACACCCTCTATGCACTTGATAAAAATGTTGTCTTAAGATCAAATACAGACCATTGACTTTTTAGAGGGTGAGATCTATGCACTTGATAAAAATGTTGTCTTACGATCAAATACAGACCATCCACGTTTCAGAGGGTGAGATCTAAGTCCAGAAAACTCAAAATTCATATTCTCTTTTGAAATAATCATCTAGTGATTGTTGAGTGTTTCCCTAAATTATAAATTGAGAAAACCCTTCCGAGGAAGCATATGTACACTATGCTCCCAGAGGTCCATAGTATACGTGCTCTTCTTTGATACTACTATAGCTTGTCCAAACAGTTTGCTCACAAGAAAGTGCCACACATGAGCAGAACCTGTGCAAGGTAGAATGTTCTAAAAAAAAAAAACATGTGCAAGGTAGAATGTTAAAAAAAAAAAAACCATGTGCAAGGCAGACTACTCAACTTATTGTATAACATGATGAAGACACAAAAAGAGAGTGAGGGAGGCGAGGGGTTTGGACCAAAACACAGATGTACAGCACAGGGGGCCAAGCATTACAAAACTTGGTAACCTACTCCTTGACCACCATAACAAGATCTGCGCTTTTGAGTTATAAAACGAATACCGCATGCACGTCACAGAATCCCTGAGCAAGTCCATTCCCTCAGGAAACAAAAGATAACGAAATAAGTAGACAAAGATAACAGGTTCACTAATTAAAAAATACTTCCGCAAAATTGTGGGCAATTCAAAATAAATTGTTGCCAGGAAACTCAAAATACATCTGTGGGGGCCTTGGATTGGTGGTTAGGGGCCGGCAGCTTGATCCTGTCCCGCTTACCGACCCTAAAACAAAAAAATTAATAACAATAAATAAAACACTACTTGGTTTGTAGTTGTGTTCCAGTGGGGCATTCAATTGCTAAAATCCACAATGGAGACACAATAAAATAAGGACGGTTCATTATCTGGAACATAATTGCAGTTAAACAATATATAGGCTCAAACAAATAGTAGCTCATATCTGAAATATTGATTAAGGCTACATAGCTGCAATTAGTAGAAAAAACCTAAATTTGTTTTGATATCTCCCCTTATTAATGTAATCTAAATAAAGAAAAAGCACAGTTCAATCAATTCACTTGCAGAAAAATGAAAACCACCATTCATGAGAAAATCATAAAGGGAGACATGATGGAACTCCAAAGTCAAATTTGGAGATAACATTGTTCAAACAAGCAGACAGCCCAGTGCCTAAGCGGTCCAATAGGCCTGGGCGCCTAGGCAGCAGTCCTTGGGCGGCCACCTAGGCAGGCGCCCAGCACCCAGCTCTAGGAGGCCGCCCAAGGCCTGCACCCCGCTTAGGGACGGAATTTTTTTTTTTTTCGTTTTATTGATTTTTTTTTAAACATAAAAGGCTATAAGGATAGGATAGGTTTTAGGTTCATTTGAAACCTAAACCCTACAATAACCCATTTTAGAGAGAAAGAAACCTCAAGAAAACTAAATTTTGTGACTTTCATTAGATCGAAATGTTGATCAAAGTTACGAAAAATGGATCCAAACATCACCCAAGTATATTTGATTTAGTTTTGGAGTTTTATAATCCTATTACAAGCTGTTTTTTATTATTTTAGCACCAAAAAACATCTTAGAAGTGAGAGTTTGAATTTCGAGCAATCAAAATAAGTGTAAAACTTTAGTTTTAGATTGTTTATTTTATTTTAAGATGTCTTCTTCAGGATCTAGTCAAAGTGGATATCCGGGTTGGAAATATGGATATAACCCGAATCCAAATGACAAAAATTGCATTAGACATAATTTTTGTGAAAAAAATACAAAATAGGACATAAACCGATTTAAGAAACATCTTATCGGTATTAAAGGTGATGTTGCCCATTGTAAAAATGTTCTTGAAGTTATCAAAGAGGAGATTAAGCAATATATGAGTTCTGTTAAACAAAAACGGGAACAAAATCTTTGTCATTTGAATAGATCTATTTCTGCAACTTCTAGAAGAAGTGATCTGCGGTTGGAAGTACAGTTATAACCCAAAACCAAATGATAAAAATTGTACAAGGTGTAACTTTTCTGAAAAATATACTAATGGGGGTATTAACCGATTCAAGAAACACCTTGTTGATATTAAAGGGAATGTTGCTTCTTGTAAAAAGATTCTTGAAACTATTCAGGATAAGATTAGACAACTTCTTAATTTAAAAGAACCAGAAAATGAGCCTTGTTCTATGGAAATATCTTCTCCAGGTTCTTCTAGAAGTGGTGATCTGAGTTGAATGTATGGTTATAACCCGAATACGAATGACAAAAATCGTATTAAATGTAATTATTGTTGAAAGGATACTAATGGGGGCACTTTTAAAAAACACATTGCTAGTATTAAGGGGGATGTTGCCCCATGTAAAAATGTTCCTGAGGCTACCAGAGAGGAAATTATATAATATTTGAGTTCAGGGAAGTAGAGAAAGATAGAAAAGAGTAGAGCAACCAAGACTCCTAAGGCCTCATCTGCACATACTAATAAGAGGGAGGTAGAAGAAGAGGAGGAAGAGACAGATTCAGAAGAAACAGAGGAGGATGAGCGTTATATTGAAGAGGGAGATGACTCTAATGATGATGGCCTCGAATCTGATGCATATGATGAAGCTTACCCTATTCCTTCTGATGACGATGATGATGATGATGACTGAAGACTCTTGGTGTTGAGTGTTGACTATTGTGTCCTAGACTCTATATTTTCTGAATTTCTATATATTTTCTTTTTCTTATTTGTAGTTTCTAGTTCTACTATCAAACTTTTGTGTGTACAGTCTACAGTATATCAGACTACCAGTGTATGCTACTATGGTTTTACTGTTTTAGCATTGTATGAAAATATGGATTATGGTCTTATGGATTATCAAAATTCTCTTCAGGACTTTTATCTTTTTTTTTTAACAGGGATTATGTGTGTGTGTTACTGTGTTGAATGCATATGCTTAAGCATTATACTAAGATACCAGGTACTTCTATAAATTATACATGGTAACTTCTACTAATGCTCATTAGTTCAGCCAATGAAATGGTATTGTACAAATGTTTCTGTCTCATGCTCATGCTCCCTTTCCATAAGATAATGTTATTCCATTGTTACACTGAGTGACCACATTTGACTTGTTCCTGTGTGGGTAATTTGCCATTCCCTTCTATCACTGTAACAATCTATTAGAAAATTAATTATCTACGATCTCACGTAATTGACATAATCTTTCCTACTGTTAACCTTCCTTTCTTCTACAAACGTCCAATGCATGTCCTTCCATGTGTAGCTTACCGTTGCTTTGTTTATTCAGTTATCGTATTTAATATTATTATCTCCCAGTGTTTCAAAAAGCGCTAGGTGGATAAGATTAATCCATAAAAATTTTGATAATCAGACACATACACACACCCAAAGCATAATGCATAACTTTATGTTTCATAGTGTACTTTCTTTGGTTATGTCATTCTGTATTTATAAGAGCCCCAGGAGTATCTGACCCAGTACAGTGTTGGCATGATACAACACTGATATATTAAGCATAAAGTGCATCATAGGTAGGGATAAGTTCAGGGATGCAGACAATCACCTCCATTGAGATCCAAGGAAGGTAAGAGAGTGAATAATCAAGATTTGTGTGACAAGAGCGTTATGCACATATTAACGCATCTGACATGGACATGTGCCTGACATGTGTTGACCAATCAGTCACGCCAATAGTCACTTCTAGGAAGTCACTCTAGGGTATCATAAAATTTTTGAATCATAAATGTGACACCCTGAATGTGACAATGAGATATGAATGTTCAAATTCTGTACAAGGGTGTCGACATTTTGTACACGTCCAAATTTTTGGTTACTCGTGTCCAAGTCCCAAACACACATGCCCATTATTGAGAAACATCTAGAACTTTAGACATGTGCGTCAAACATGTGACACACATGCCTAATATTTTTGTCAAATATTCTTAATTAATTATAAAATGAATTTTCAATGCAAATCCATGTGTATACCCCTAAATGCTTCGACATTGCAAGGATATGTACAGACTTGTCGTATCTGACACTATTCATGAGGGTGCTATGTAATTCTCTATCACTACTAGTTTCTCCCAGTTTATTCTCAATTTATCACAAATTTTTCATATTTTTCAGTAATTAATTACTGACTTTTCAGGTTTATTTAAAATGCATTCAGTTTGAGCTGAAAAAGTTACCAGAAAGAAAGTGTTAAAGAGATTGGCAGCCAATTCCACCAAGCCAATTAGGTGGGAGGGGAAGAGCATGAGATTATGAGGCCCAATTTGATCTTCCCAATAGGAGAAGTCTGAAGAATGTATACTGCCAGCAGTGCGTCGGCAGAGTATGGAGGGATGAGGATCCTCAGGGGCTAGCACAAGTGCTATCGGGGGGTCCTCAGGGGCTACATGAGGAATATTGCCAAGGATATGGGGGAGTGTACTCCATGTCTATTAGGAGTACAACTTATAAAGAGAGAGATAGAGGCGAGGAGCACAAGAGGTGAGGATCCAGTGTAGACCTCCTTGGCCCACTCAGGTCACTCAACACACCCAACCCACATATCCCATATTGCTTTCCCCAAGTCAAATCAAACAATAACTTCCTAAGCCTTTATCTGAGTAGATAGACACCAACGCGAGCTTCAGCAAAACAATGAGAAAGTGCATGATGTTGGGGAAAGTAATTTCATGATGATGCAATCCCTTTCAATGCAGCCAACAACGAGCATTATGCACCCTTAATCTCCACCATTGCCAATTAATAGCTTGGAGTCAATGCCCCCATTGCATATAAGGTTAGTAGGCCCTACTTAGGTGAGGAGGTGACTGAGGTGGGCCAATTCATTGATGAATATAAGCAAGTGTAGAAGAGAACATGAGTCACAATCATGTCTTATGGGGTGCAAGGATACGAATTGCAAACTTCTCTTACTTTCTGGTGCATTACCACAAGGGATGATGTTCCATACCACTGTAGATGCCACAAAAGCGGTGATGAGAAGCTATTGTGTAGTTCAGGATAATGTGGTGAGGCAAGTTAGAGAGGAGCATGTAGTTCGAGTTATAACGGATAATCCGAAGGGCTACACAACACATGGAAGAAGCTAATGAATTTGAGGAAACATTTGGTATGGACCCATTGTGCCGTCCACTACAATGTGATGTTAACTAACCATAAAAAAAAACTACATTGTGATGTAGGCCAACTTCACTTAGCAAAATTCAAGGCCAATGTTTCGAGCCTTTAGAGGCAAATTTTCAGCCCAATTCACAATGATAAAGTAGGTTTCGGTATCATAGGGCTTTCAATTCCCTCTCCAAAATAGTCATTCTAAAACTGGAGTGAAAAGTCGTCATCATTTGATATTCGGGTATTGTTTCAGGGTTTTTTTTCTAGAGTGTCTTACTTTATCAAGGGCAGAAGTGTCAAATTCCAATTCAATTTTAATTAAAAGTTCTAATTACACTTGGGTTAGTGCTAGGGAGACCATAAAAAAACTTTATAATATGGGTTCTGTTACGGTTTTCATTCAGAGATGATTATTATTTTGCATCATTGTTCTTTCGATTTCTATCGAAGTTGCAGCCGCATCGAAGCTAGACTTGTTAACTTTCCTTTTGTTTTCCACCAAATTTTCAGATTTTTAAGTCTTCTTTGTTGGTTCAAATCTACATCGAGCAGCTAGTCTCTCCCAAAGCGCCTAATATGCTACAAGTTTGCACAATGACAGCCAGACGAGGGCATGGAGATCATGGCCAAGTGGGTGGATCTGGACCTTCGGAAGAAT